CCGAAGGGTCGTTGTATGGGTATAGGTATCTATATATATATATATATACATCGGAGGTAAGGGGGTGATATCGTAGTGGAACGGCGACCCCCAAGCGGGAAATCGGTTCGTTTCGTTCGTGTCGTGCGTGCGGGCGAGGCGAAGCTGCGTGGGCGCGCGAGAGGAATGAACCCACCGTTGCTAGGGCGAAATCAAGACAAATGATTATCCCACGTCCGTCCGTCCGTCCGGCGGTGGCCCTAGCGGTGTCCCGTGGTGTTGCTAGGGCGAAGTCAAGACAAATGATTCTCCCCCGTCCCCCCGTCCGTTCGTCCGTCCAGCGGTGGCCCTAGCGGTGTGCCGCGGTGTCCCGTGGGCAAAGTCAAGACAAATGATTCTCCCCCGTCCGTCCGTCCGTGAGGCGGTGGCTCGCGGTGTCCCGTGGTGGCCCGTGGTGTCCCGTGGTCTCCCGTGGTGTCCCGCGGTGTCCCTCGGGGTCCCGTTGAGTGAGATCGATAGCTCGATCGACAAACGTCCCGTGGTGTCCCGTGGTGTCCCGTGGTGTCCCGTTGAGTGAGGTCGATAGTGAGATCGATTGAGTCAAATGTTGGTTCTCCCCCCTCTCCCCCCCCACAACCTACTTATCACCCGAAGGGTGGTCGTATAGGTATGTGTATATATGTATATAATTGTGCATACGTATTCAGATGCAAGGCAAAGGGTGGGTACACAACTGGCCGCCTTGCCCAGAATGGCGAGAACGACGCCGAAGACGCCGCCGACGAGGACGCGACCGACGACTATCACGGCGACGACGATACCGACGACATCGACGCTGCCGACGACATCGACGCTGCCGACGACGTCGCAGACGACGTCGCTGACGCCGACGCCGCCGACGACGCCGGCGGCGGCGACCCTTTTCGGTGCCGCGACGCTCGCCCGCTGGCCACGAGTCTTCGGTGACGTACTCGCCTAATGCGCCAGCGGCGGGACCGCGGTGCGCGCCCCCAGGGTTTCCCAGGGCTGAACCTAAACCGCGTTTTTCGTTTTCGTTTTGCTTTCGTTATTTCCTCGTTTGGTCCTGAATTCGCGCTTGCTCCGAAACGACACCGAAACGAAAACGGCCCACGAAGTCGCCCAAACACCGTTTAGGTCCACCCCTGGGGTCTCCAGCCGCGCGCTGGGCGGGAGCGGCAGCCGCGGCGCCACTAGCCGCCAGGGGTCTGCTGTGGCAGCGCGGCCAAAAAGAGCACCCCTCCCGCGGGTGAAAAAGGGGAAAAAGGAAGAAGAGGGGGGGAGGGAGTGAGAAAACGGACACGGGGGGAGGACGGGACGGGGGAGGAGCGGGTGGGAGGGATAAGGAGGATGGAGGAAGTGGGAGGGATAAGGAAGATGGAAAAGTAGGAACGCCTCCTCCTCCTCCTCCTCCTCCTCCTCCTTTTCCTCTTCTTCATCATCACGATCATCATCATCAACATCATCTTCATTATCGTCATCATACTCGCCATCGTCATCAATGTCCTGCTTCTTTCCCAACCTCATCCTCCTCCCCCTCGTCTGGCTCGTCCCTTCGTCACACTTCGTTTCTCAACAGCTGCGTGAGACTCATACATATCTGGCTGGAACCATGCTCCTCTTGGGCCGCTGGACAACCGTCGCAACATCTTTATGTGATGTCGAAATGGGTGTAACTTTCTTGTGGGAATACAGTAGGATCATTGTTCACAGAGTGCCCTTCTGAGCGGCAAAGAAGCTACGATGGCCCTCCCCCCCGATCACGGAAGCTCACCATGACGAGCGCTGCGGCACTACCGACGGATTTTCTCCACCGTCGGTTTGTATCACAGGTCCCGCCTCCATGGAATCAGTAACGACCCCCATTGCTGCCCAGGGCGATTCGATGTCCATCGTGTGAACCGCCGAACCATATGTCGTCTCAGTGTCTTTCCCAGGACGTACACGCATATGCATATACCTTTGCCGCGTTATCCTCCCGCTCGTCCTGTTTGTTCTCTCTCTCTCTCTCCTCTCCTCCGCCTCTCCTCCCCCCTTCTCCTCCTCTTTGTCCACCTCCTCCCCTCCGTCAGTCTTGCCTCCATTCCCATTCTAGACGTTACCCTTGTGTTTTGTCTTCCCCATGGCCACTTACATATTCAGCGCAGCCGTTCAACGCGCCTGAACCAGCTGATCTAGTTAGGGGCCGTTCGTCATCTCTCTTCCCCGTTGGGTCGCCCCCTTCGCCTCGCGTGCGCTCGACCTTTTTGGCCAGCCTGCGCCAGTTTGTCGATTCCGGTGGTGGGCGTTTTCTGATTCGGTGTTTCGATATTGGGCGGACGGGGGGGGGATGGGGGGGGTCCGGCTGCGGACCTCTGCTTGATGTGATTGTTTGCAACAGTGCGTCCTGTGGGGGAGTCTCCGCCTGCTTGGAACACGCGCTGAAAAGCCGAGATCTACTCCATGGGGGTGGGGGAGGGTGTGCGAGGGCCCGCGCCGATCGGCAAAACAAGGAATAAGAAACCGATCGCGTGACTGCATCTGTCTCCGTTTACCTCTCCGTGGCGAGCAAAAGGTCGTGGACCTGTCGTTTACCTTGCCCTGTCGAATGGCGGCTGGGAGCCGCCGTTTTTTGATCTCCGCGGGGACTGAGGATGATGATGCGCCCCTCTGAGACCGCACAACAACATTGCATGTACTACACATTCATTTTTTTTTGTCCGCGAGGCTCCAGCTGCTGAAAGAATGGTCGCAGGAAGCCGCGCGACAACTGGCAGAGACATAAAACAACGAATCTCTGACATCTGCGCAGCCATGCATGGCGCTACGCTCTGGATGTCGCACGGCAGCTCGTGAACAAAAACTGGCGTGAGGAAGACGCACGCGGTAGAACACGCAAACGCCCGAACGACATCACGCACAACGGGGCAAAGCGAAGCGCACCTCAGGCCGGAAGCAGTCGGCGAGCCTGTATGGCATGCATTTCGGCTGACACGTAGGTGGGTACAGCCATGACCATTGTTTCCTCTTGTGTCTTTTTCTCGTACTGCTGCCTGGCATCCAAGCTGGCCCACGCTCCCAGCAAGATGAGCTGGTCAGCAGAAGAGCATGACACATCGAGAATGCCGTGCTGGACTTCCGGATCCGTCGTGTCGTCACAGACGATGAAGGGGTGGATGGTCTTCACGTCGATGAGTGGAAGAGCCGATGATTGCAACGCACCCAATTCTGATGAGAGTAGATCCGACCTATGGGATGGCGCACTCGTCACATCGTCAATCTCATCTCCTGGTGGTGCCGTGAAAAGAGACACCAGGCAGCGGGCCAGGATGGGCGACCCTGCTGATCGGCGAGGAGAGCGCCTCCGAAAGGTCATGAACACAACGTCAGCATGCTAAAGGTCGATGTGGCGGGCGACCGTGTACGCCAGATCCGCATTGCAGATCTTCTTGATGTCACGCCCGAGTCGGTTGCCATCCATTTGCTGCTTGTACACGATAGCTTCCTTCATGCTGGTCACACGACTTTTCTGATGGTGTGAGAACAAGCGAGTGGCCCGACTGACGAACGTGCCCAACAAGTCGATGGTGCTGTCCATCTTCTCTTTCGTGCAGCTCTCCGCGCGAGGACCGAGGGCGCCATGGCGCCGCGAACCTACGGCTGGGCATGGCGATTATCGCAAGGGCCGAGAAAGCCTCACGCCCAATAACGGCCAGGAGACGTATTCTTCATCAAGCATCGTGATTTGTCATACAGGAGGGGGCCCTTCCACAGGAAACCTTCCACAAGAATTCCAACCCCGAGAGCCCAGGACGTCCACTAATTTTCGGCGTGAGAGTGTCAGGCTTCCCATCGCGAAACCATCGAAGCCCAAGAAACCCAGGGCATCCAGGGTGCTTCTTGGCATGGGCTTCCTCTGTAATTGGGCCCACTGCCCAACCGACGCCGCGAGCGGGGCGCGGTCCTGACCACTGCCTAGTTTAGAGAGCTCTATGCCGGTCGGTGGGGGGAAGGGAGCGGGGAGGTCTGGCTCTGGACCTCTGCTTCATGCGACTGTGTGCAACAGTGCGTCCTATGGGGGAGACTCCACCTGCCCGAGACAGGCACCAAAAACAGCCAAGATCTACTCCACAGGGGGGAGGGTGTTGGTGCGAGGGCCCGCGCCAGTCGGCAGAACAGTGAACACACCAACGATCACTATCTGAGGAACGGCCGAGCCCCTGTTTAGGTATTCCCTCGTCCTTGCCTCTCGTCTTGAACATGGCCCCCCTCTCCCCTACCCAGGACCGCCGACGGGGGCTCCCTGGCAAACTTCCGAACCCGAAGTGGACCTTCTTTCCACTCCATGACTGCATGCGGCGAATCCTCGTGGGGTCCTAGGCGCCACCCGCCCGGCCAAGCGTCCCGTTCAAGCACGCACACCAAGAGCCGCACGTGGCATCATCTCCCCCTCCTCCTCCTCCTTCTCCTCCTCTTCCCTTCGCCACCCTCTCTCTCTATCACCTCGTCCTGCTCCACATGCTTCACCTCCAGAAGAGCACGAAAAAGAGGCCTAGGACTCTCGGAAGGCAGTTGCCTCTGAATGTCTTAGCGCCCGCAACAAAAACGGAGGCCCTTGGAGGGGAGGGAGGGAGAATGACCAGCAGGAGGAAGAGAACATGAGGAGAAGGAGGAGGACCAAGAGGAGAAATAGGATGAGGACGGAGGAAGAGGAAGGGTGATGATCGAGGGGGAGGAGGGCCGATGATGCTGCTGCTCATGACGACAACAATGAGGCTGATGATCATGAGGGTGATGATGGTCATAATCATGATGATGCTGCTGATGATGATCTACTGGTAATCATGACGATGACGATGCTGATGCTGATGATGGCGATGCTAATGAACATGACGATGATGATGACGATGATGGCGATGGTGATAATAATGATTAATGGTAATGCTAATAATGACGATGGCGATTACGATGATGATGATGATGATGATGATGATGATGATGATGATGATGAAGATGATGACCCTGACAAGGAGTAAGATCGACGAGGCAGCGGGTGAGAGTAGCCTCGGCGTCGCGCGCAGCGGCACGCGCCGAGGGCGGCGGCCCGTGCGTGTGTTTTGCAGCGGAACAGGGGGGGACACGCCCTGCGAGACATACCCGTGAGATCGTCGTTCGCCTCAACAGGTCTGCGCGGTGGCTGCGTTCTGCAGGGTGCCGTGATATAGGAACGCTTTTTAAAAAAAAATTCGGCGTTTCGACATTGGGCGGCAAAAGGGGGGGGAGGGGGGGTCTGGCGCTGGACCTCTGCTTAGTGCGGCTGTCTGCAAGAGTGCGGCTTCCGGGGGAGACCCCATCCGCTCGAAACAGGCGCCAACAAACAGCCAATAGCTACTCAATGGGGGGGGGGTGGAAGGGGGGTTTTGGGGCCCGCGCCGATCGGCAAAACAATGAATAAAGCAACGAACACCAATGATATCTGGACGTGTCTCTAGATCCTGTGCTTTACACTGCCTCCTTTGGAGCATCACGTTCTTATGCATGTAAACACACAACTGAATGCACGTATATATATATATATATATATATATATGTATATATGTATATATCTATATACATGTATCTATCCATATAATTGCATGTAAACATAGACTTATGAGTACCTATACGACCACCCTTACAATGGCATGGTATTAGAGGGAGGCACCAACGTCTCATTCAATCGATCCCACTATCGATCTCACGATCGCCCATACTATCGATCTCACTATCGGTCTCACTATCGATCTCACTATCAATATCACAACCGTTCTAACTATCGGTCTCACGATCGAGGCTCCCCAGGGTGCCCCAAGGCAGCCCCGAAAAGTGCCCAGGAGGTCCCAAGATGCTCCCGAGAGGGTTGCAAGAGGCTCCCAAGAGGCTCACACGATACCCCCAAGATGCCCCCGAGAGGCCCCCCAGAGGCACCCAAGACGCCCCGAAGAGGCCTCAGCGAGAATGCCAAACACATTGATTGTACAAAGGTCTTGGCCACAGGTTGGCCTCCTGGGGGGAGGGGGGGGGGGCTGATGAAAGAACCCCTCTGCCTTGATCGATCCCCTCCAGGATGGCCCCACGATTGCCTCCGTGGCTCCCAAGAGTGCCCCAAGACGGCCCCAAGAGGTGCCCAGGAGGCCTCAAGAGTCCTTTTTTTTTCTCCCCCAAGCCTCCAGCGGCTCCCGCCAAGAGGCCCGTTCGCCGCCGACGGCGGCACGCCTCAGGCCTGACTGGCCTGGTTCAGCTGGTCCTCCAGCTCGAACTCGTACGTTGGCTGGCCCTCCAGCCTCATCTGCACCATCATGTTCACAATGCTCACATAGTGCAACTGGTGCTCCCCCATGCGGAGCACGCTCTCAAGCCCCCCGCCGCACAGGCAGGACTGCTCCCTGCTCCAGCGGCTTGCCATTCTGTGGCCTCCAAGAGGCCCCGAATCTGCCCCCAAGAGGCTCCCACGAGACCCACGAGATGCCCAAAGAGGCCCCCCCCGGAGGCACCCACGCCGCCTCGAGAGCCCCCCCGGGACTGCCAAGAGACCCCCAAAGCGCCCCAAGAGGCATCAAAGAGGCCCCTGGCCTTTCTGCTCGCCCGTCTTCTCCTGCCTCTCCTCGTCCGATGTTCAAGATTAGGTGGACGTCGACAGCGAGACCGCCATAAGCCATGGCGGCAACACTTGATCGCCCTTCAGCTCGACTCTATCGGATGTGTGTGTATGGTGGTCTGTATGCGCTCCAGGCCGTGCTTGCACTTATGGGATTCTTACTTCTTTTCTGAGGAACTGGGCAGTGTCTTTGCTTTGGTGGCTATGTGGTCGTCGTCGCCGCCCCGTCGCCGCTTTGTCGCCGCCAGTCGTCTGGGCAGTTTTGTCGGTCTTGCGGCTACGTGGCCGCTGTTGCTGCCTCGTCGCCGCCGTTGGATGGAACAACATAGGTTGTGCGAAGAAATCGCGCCTGCGGCGCGCTCTTTGACCGCTCGCAACAAAGGTTATCCTTCCCAAAAAGGATCGAAGACGCCTACGGCGAATCACCGCCGCCCCCTGCCCTTGTGGAAGCGCCTATGTGGCCGAACGTGTGTGGCCAGCGCCCTGCCACACTATCGGACCATGTGTTCCCCGAATCGGTTTGAAAAGCTTTCGGGGAACACGTGGGGGAGGATCAGGAAACCGGAGGAGGAGGAGCCTCTTGGGCGCCTCCTGGGGCACTCTTGGGCCCTCCTGGGAGCTTGCTGGGGGCCTCTTGGAGGCCTCTTTGGGGCCTCCTTGGGCCTGCTGGGGGCCTTTGGGGACTTATTGGGGGTCTCTTTGGCTGTCTTAAGGCAATCCTGGCTTGTCTAACGCCGTCGGAAGCCGTCATGGGGGCCTGTCTGGGTCGTCTTGGGGCTTTCAGGGCCGTCTTCGAGGCCATCTTGGGCGTCTTGGACGCCTTTTGGGCCGTTTTTGGGGCCCTCTTGGGGCAATCTGGGGGGCCTATTGGGCCGTCATGGGACCATCTTGGAGGCCTCGTGGGCGATCTTGGGGCGTTCTTGGGGGCCTCTTGGGCCGTCTTGAGCCGTCGGAATGCCGAGAAGAAGAAAATGCCAGAATCCTTCAAACCCCTAAGGACAATCAATGATGTTGGTCTCTTCGGGCCCTCCTGGACGACCTCTTGGAGGCCTGTTGGGCCGTCGTGGGCGCCTCTTGGGGGCCTCTTGGGCAATCTTAGGCCGTCTTCGATGCATCTTGGGCCGTCTTGGAGGCACCTTGGGGTCATCTTAGCCGTCTTGGAGGCCACCTTGGCCGTCTTGAAGGCCTCTTGAGGGCCTCTTGGGGCCGTCTTGGGGGCCTCTTGGGCCGTCATGGGACCATCTTGGAGGCCTCGTGGGCGATCTTGGGGGCCTCTTGGGCCGTCTTCAGCCGTCGGAACGCCGAGAAGAAGCACATGCCAAAATCCTTCAACCACCTGAGGACAATCAATGATGTTGGTCTCTTCGGGCACTCCTGGAGGACCTCTTGGAGGCCTCTTGGGCCGTCTTGGAAGCTCTTGGGGGCCTCTTGGCCGTCCTGGGCAATATTGAAGCCATCTTGGGCCGTCTTGGATGCATCTTGGGCCGTCTTGGAGGCATCTTGGGGTCATCTTAGCCGTCTTGGAAGCTATCGTGGCCGTCTTGGAGGCCTCTTGGGGCCCTCTTGGGGCTGTCTTGGGGGCCTATTGGGCCGTCATGGGGCCATCTTGGAGGCCTCGTGGGCGATCTTGGAGCGATCTTGGGGGCCTCTTGGGCCGTCTTGAGCCGTCGGAACGCCGAGAAGAAGCAAATGCCAACATCCTTCAAAAACCTAAGGACAATCAATGACTTTGGTCTCTTCGGGCACTCCTGGAGGACCTCTTGGAGGCCTCTTGGGCCGTCTTGGAAGCTCTTGGGGGCCTCTTGGGCCGTCTTGGGCAATATTGAAGCCATCTTAGGCCGTCTTGGATGCATCTTGGGCCGTCTTGGAGGCATCTTGCTGTCATCTTAGCCGTCTTGGAAGCTATCTGGGCCGTCTTGGAGGCTATCGTGGCCATCTTGGAGGCCTCTCGGGGCCGTCTTGGGGGCCTCTTGGGCCATCATGGGGCCATCTTGGAGGCCCCGTGGGCGATCTTGGGGCGATCTTGCCCCGAGAAGAAACAAATATCAAAATCCTTCAAAAACCTTTGGATAATCAATGATTTTGGCCTCTTCGGGTCCTCCTGGAGGACCTCTTGGAGGTCTCTTGGGTCGTGTTGGGCCGTCGTGGAGGCTTCTTGGGCGAACTTGGAAATATCTTGGACTCTCTTCGGCCGTCTTGGAGGCCGTCTTGGACCATCTTGGGCGGACTTGGAGGCCATTTTGGACAATCTTGGAGGCCATCTTGGGCCAACGTGGCCATCTTGGAGGCCATCTTGAGCCGTGCTGGAAGATTTTTTGGGGGATTGAGATCCCTTTCGGGTGGCCGGCGGGACGGGCCAAAACCCCAAGGGGAGTTTTGTTGGACAAAAACAAAACCAACACCGAAAGGGTCTAGAACGCCGGGCACCCCTGTGGCAAGCCAGCAAAAGGGCGGCGGAAACAGGTTCTACCACCCTCCCCTCCCGGGGTTAAAGACCCTCTTTTCCGTATTGCAGTTTGCATCTGATTCTGCCTCATTGCTCCTCCTAAATATGAATTTACACTATCCCAGAGGGGGGCGGTATCGCCTTCCCCGCCATCCTCTGCAGCAAATACTATGCGCGCGCACTCGTTTATCAATTATCAGAAATTGTCAGAATTCCCTTCCAACAAATGGGACGAAGTGTGCACGCGCGCGTCGTCGCGCGCGCATGCCGGAATTCTTCAAAACCGAATGTCCAAATAAACATATAAAAAACACTGGGCTTCGCAACGCTGACTTTCAACAGAAATCGTGCGCGCGCGCTCTTGCAAATTCTTAAAGAAACCATGCGTTGTTCAAAATTTTCATAACATGCTACCGAAAGGGCTTCGCGCGCGCATGTCGAAATTGTTCGGACGCCCTTGCGCGCGTGCCGTCGCGAGAATCACTTGCAACACATAGGACGAAGTGCGCGCGCGCGTCGTCGCGCGCGCATGCCCAAATCCTTTGAAAACCTTAGGTTCCGAAGCGAATTCAAAATCGAGTGTCCAAGCAACATATAAACATGCATGGTTTCGCAACACGGATTTCCAAAAGCAAATGCGCTCGCGCTCTTGCGAATTCTTACGCGGGCTCAACACGGGCTTCACGGGCGCATGTCGATACTGTTCGAACGCATTTGCGCGCGTGCTGGGCTGGCACGATCTGTGTCAAATCGTCCCATGCGAGGCACTATCGCGCGTCTGCCGCGCGCGCACTTCGAATCCTTTTCAACATTTTCATCACCGACGCCAAGACGCCGTCACCGTCGTCGGCGTGATCAGCATCAGCGCCGTCACTGGCCGCCCCATCGTCGCTGTCAGCATCGTCGACAGCATCGCTACTATCATCATCGAATCTACAATTGTCGACGTTGCCATGATACCGCGCCTGCCGAAGTCGCCGACTCGCTTGGGTGTGCAGAACGGTCAGCGCCACCGCGTTCGCGTCGGTCGCGCCAAACCAGCTGGCCGTTGCGCGCGCGGGCATCCGCGGGCTAGCGCACAGCATGCGCTGCA